GAACCTAAATAAAACCTAAATAATGATCCAGTAACTTTTGAATGGATAACCCATTTTGCATCATTGACCTTTTTAATATTTTACACGCATACATTTTTCATATATGTAAATATACAGCATATATGACTCATACATTCTCATATATGTAAATATACAGCATGTATGTATATGTATATACATATGTAAATATATACTTTGTAATATTTTACACGCATACATTGTCATATATGTAAATATACAGCATATATGTATATACATATGTAAATATATATGCAAATATATACACATTTATGTAAGTACAATTATATATAAATGTATATGCATATATCTTTATATATGATTGAATATAAATGTATATATGTAAATATATATACCAGTGGCCGTCAGTCAGGACCAGAGCTGCTCAGGTGAGTGACTAGATAAATCCAAGAAAAGAATAGCGATTACCTCAGAGCTGATTTATAAGAGAACGTTAACCACGTAACAATTCCATTTTTAGGTCATCCTCCACAGAGCATCGTGTATTTGACTTTCATTAGACTCATTGTCACAGCTCCACCACGGCTCACACACCCATGTATGAACGAAGTCGTTTTGGTTCGGGCTGCCTTTGCCGTCCACCTTTACACTGTTTGAGGAGCTGTTAGCCTTATTTCTGCTCCCTTTCTTACCCGGATACTTGTTCCTGATTTGTCATCATTCAGGTTAGTCTGTGACATAACTGTGTCATCACTAGGCAACATGTGTTCCACCATCTGTTGGCAGTGTCCACTTCATAGACCAGGCTGAGATAGAGCTCACACACTGGTGTCAGCACCGTCTGCTTTTTTCAGACCATAGCAACAGATGATGGGATTAGTCGGACAGATGAGAGGACGTACACCTCGGACGTACACCTCGGACTGTGCTGTGCTCCAGTCTGTGGAACACTCAGGGGGAGAGTTGGTTGGTGGTGCACTCTCAGGGCCGGTGAGGCGTTCGTTCCTGGACCTAGCCGTCACACTTGTTAATGATGCTCAGTTTTAAATAAATAGTAGTTGATGATTAGTTATATCTTTCAGACATACTGTACGTTAGGATTCTCTTCACATGATTTTACCTGCAGCCATCAGAGCAGCAAACTCTGCTCATACAAGATGTATTTGTAAAGAAAAATCACATATGGTTAACCAGGTTTTATGGATTAAAACAAAGCAATGATGTGGTTTTGTCATTTAAAAAAAAAACCAGAAACATAAACGGAACAGATTTCTAGCTGCAACTTGTAAACAATAAGACTTTATTCCCATAAAATACTGTAATTTAACTAACAGCCAATAGGCACAGGGGAAGACCTACGATCCACTGCTGGTATTGGTGTGATTGTGGAAAATGACCTTGTGTTAATTATTGACCAAAACCAAGATGGTCGTCACCTAAAGTTCAAGTATTTTTTCTCTGTAATTCCAGCAGTAACCTCCACATCCAGTCCTTCGTCCTCCGCTCATAAGAGTGTGTGTGTGTGTGTGAATCTGTATGTGGGTTTATTCGCTCTAATCTTTTAATGACATGCACTAACGATGCGATGAGGCTCAGGAACAGCCTGACCCATGAACACACACACACACACACACACACACACACACGGCCTGACTCAGTGGTAGATCACAGCCTCTGAGGAGATTAGCCAAATCAGAAAAGCGTTTTAAAGAAATGCAGCTTTAATGCCACACATTTCTGTGCACATGTGTGTGTGTGTGTGTGTGTGTGTGTGCATACAAACTGCATGCCATTAAGTTTTTTTTGTTTTTTTTTTTTGGAAGAGCCCATTGCAGTTGAAATGTTTTCTGTCCTCACTGTCCCTCAGCTCCTTGTCTCGCGTCTTATTATCGTGTGTAAAGTTGTAAATGAATGTGGTTTTCACTGAATTCTGTTACGTAAAATCGTCTGAACCCAGAAAGTAAATGTGGTTTTCACTGAATTCTGTCACGTAAAATCGTCTGAACCCAGAAAGTTGAAAACAGCGACGTTCACGACACAAAGGATGAAGACTCAATCTTCTCCTTGCCCCTGCTCGGCAGCTCCTCGGTACATTCTGTGTTCTCTTTGTTCCCTTGTAACTAATCCTCTTAAAATGAAAGTAGCAGAAAAAGAGCAGTTTTCATCTTCTGTTTACCAGCATCTGATTTTTTGAAGAAGATATAAATAACAAAAATGTAAATCTGCAACGCAGTATGGAGCGAGAACGCAGCACAGATTCAGCTCTGTTAAAAATCAGAGGGATACTTCAAACCCATCATTTGCCGTAAACATAGAAGGCAGCACGTCGGCGTAATCCCTGTTTTTAATATATTTTAGATTATTCTTCCCTTTGAACAGCTCTTATTTGAATTTCAAACATTACTGAATTGTTTACTTCATGCTCGTCCTTCGTACTATTTCATGTACAGTACATGATTACTACAGTGTTGGCTGGAGTCCAAGTGTGGATGTTATTTTCACAAGAAGGCAGAATTAGAATTGTTTTTTAGCCCCTGTTGTGATGCTCATATGACGCAATTCTGGATGCTGGGAACATACACAGGTGTGGGTGTGGTGAGGAAAGACGTGACTTGCTCATTGGTCCAATGGCATGTGGCAGTGGTTCTCAAACTTTCTCTACTCTGTACCACCTGAGAAAACATTGATCTCTCTGAGTACCACCATGACGACCAACAGTAGAATACAGCAGCAGAGGCCTTCACTGTTAGCTTCCACCACAGCACAGATGTTTATGTTTAAATGTTGTATTAATTGTTCATGGTATGTTTCAGATTTAATCAATTGAAAATGTAAATGTTAAAAGTATGAATTTTCCCCACGTACCACTAGAGCGCATACCAGAGTTTGAGAACCACTGGCATATAGCATATGCTAAAATTGGAAATATCTCTAAAAAAATATAAAAAGGACACTCTATGGAGGAAGCTTTTATCCCCAGAGCTGTCCGCTGTGATGTCTTTGATCATGGTACCATGCAGGACGACTCCATACGTCAGCGTTGTTGTACTGTAATACTCAACATGACACTGCTCTCCCAGGTTGACTCGGAGTAGAATTCCTCATCTTCTTGTCAAATTTGAAGGTTGACTAAAGTATGCACAGAATACATTGCAGCATATATAATCTGATTATAAAGTCGATACACAGTGCGGTACATGGTGTCTGATGGGCACTTGTCATGTTCCTGTGATCATCTCATGCTGATCCATCATCTCAGATATCAGTGAGTGGCAGCTGCGGTCGTCGGAGCTCCTGCGTCGGGTTTCCGTGGGCTGCGTTTTTGGTGCGGTTGAAATGGATTTTGCCAAATTAGTTCTGACAAGGAGGAATATTAGTTTGATTCAACATCACAGAGGGGAACACGGTGTGTTTATTATTTAATGCGCCGTCTGAAGGAAGTGTATTTTTATATGATACAAATGAGTTAAAAATACCAGACAACAGCAACTGAAAAGGTTTTGGTTTCAGCTGAGTGGGAACGGTTTCCACTCTGAAACCTGTCAGTGATCATCACTGGACAGACTCTGTGACGGCCACTCACTGATGACTCACTGTCATCAAAGACAGTCACAGAAACATGCTGACGCTTTGAAAGGAACTCAGTCTGCAGTACACATATACATACAAATATACTGTATATACACATACTGTATATACAGACATATATATGGTGTGTATAATAGTTATATATTTTAACAATATCTAAATATCATTTATATATATATCTAAATTTTAAATGTATCTTATAACACAGTCCTGTATGGACTAAAAGAAATCTTACAGATGATCAATTTTTACCATATAACCTCCTTCATTACCAGATGCTCAGACCTTTGCCTGATGGTTTTGCATTTTTTTTTAGAATGTGCTGTCTATCTGCATTTGCAGTGTTTTCTTTTCTAATCAGATCAATTTCTCCACGTCAAGGTCTTCAAACCAACCGTTGCTCCATTCTGATAAACCTAAATTAGCGAGGTTGTACTGCTGTAGACCAAACCACGGTATCATTTTCATCCGCTCTGTAAAAACTAAAGCGATTAACAGCTTAAAGGAAAGTACGTGATGTTTGATTGATTTTCTCAAAAAGAAAGTGTTATTTTTATCTCCTGCTCCACATTAATGATGACACTGACGGACAGATGGTTCGTCCAATTAGCTGCCCAGTATTCTAGTCTCTGTCAGTTTCCAGTTTGTTGGTCGCCGTCTGCTGAAGCTGCTTAAACAGACATGCAGTAACATCTGATGATGCTGATTCATCACCAGTGAGGACGCTCATCTGTTAAAGGACTTCACTGAAGCCCCAGTTGGAGCTCCTTCATCTGAGTCCCTATATGATGTTGTTTTTTTTATTTTTTATTTAACATATTTACTTGAACATGTAGAACGCGTGGGTCTAATGATTGACAGCCATACTGTGTATGATACAGGAGTCTATTATAACAGCGGTCTAGTACCGCAGTGAGTTTGCTGCTCAAATAGATGCATTTATTGATCTCCTGGATTAGGTCATGATGCTGAAAGGAACCTCACTGCCCGTTATATACACACAGCCCGACCTGGGAAATGGTGGTGCACCGATCACAGGAAGTTGACAGGTGTGGTTTCTATTTCTGTTTGTTAGCATTTAAGGTTTAAATCCAGATTAAGATATTCTTTATTCGTCCAACAATCGGTGTGGTTTCTACTTCTGTTTGTTAGCATTTAAGGTTTAAGATATTCTTTATTCGTCCAACAATGAGGAAAGTCACAAAAAGTAGCAACAGCTTTGATGTTGTTTTTAGGTCTTGACCAAATCTCTAGAAAATGCTGACGCAGGTCTAGTTCTCAGATGTTTTCATGAGCTAACTCAACAGCTGCCATCAGTGAACTGAATAAAACTCTCTTAATCTGTAATACACTTAATTAACTATTGAATCTGTTTAATACATTCGTAGCAGATAGGGCTTCACTGGGTCTTGACTCTGGTCCACAGACTGCAGAGACACAGAGATTTCTTTTGAAAGATTTTATTTGTTTCGTATAATATTGACACATGTACTCAACTGCGGTTAACAGGCGTTTAAAAACACAGATAATAAAACCATTAGAGCACTGATGTACCTTAAGCCCCGGCGTTTCCATTAACCATTTTTTACACGTTTACATATTTCAATATTTCAATATACCGTAACATCTACTTGGAATTAGTCTAACTTCACCCTGGGTTTTTTTCCTTGGTCAAAAAAAAAAAAACTAACAAACAAAAAAACAAACAAATAACTGTTTCTCCCATTTAAAAAAAAAAAAGGAAAAGAAACGGTGTGCCGTCTGCCACAATCAGTTCAAAGTAAGATATTAAAGTATGAAGATGAAGGTTCAACTTCAGGTTCGATAAACATTCGTACAGCAGCGAGTGCTTCATACAGGATGTGGCACAGTAAAATTAAACATGTCAGCCGCTGAGGAAACACCCCCTCTTATTCTGTGGTCACATTTGTAGTACAGTATAGCAGTTTTAAATCTAGATCCCCTTGTCCCAGTATGCAGATGGAACACAACTAAGCCATAGAAGAGAGGTGACGACTACAGGATGAGCTTACGAAAGGTTCTCCTTTTGTTGCGTTTGTTTTCATCTAATCCCGTGGTCGGAAGTTCAAAGTTGACTTCCTCAGAGGTTGTGTTAGCAGTACAGGATCGTGGGTGATGCAGGGCCTCTGGGTTGACGGACCACGGACACTTGTGTTAAAGATGATGGCAGTGTTTTTGAGTCCTGTCTCTTCAGCCACCGAGTCATAGATATCCTCGGAAAAATGAAACAAATAGTGGATTTCCTTGGTTTCAGTCTGCGTCTGATTCACACCAATAATACTTTAGGTCCATTGTGCTGTCTCCGTTTCTCCGACACCACTCCTTTGTCCTCTTTTTGAAGTGGGTGGCACTATCGGGTCACCTGACACAGGGAGAGAAGAAAAGACAAGTAGGTCAAGGAAAATAGTGCACAAAATGGAAGTAGGAGGCTGGAAGGTAAAGGTCACAAATTAGAGCCAGTAATGGGTGTGATTTATGACTGTGTGGTCCTGCAGACACCAGATTTAGGAAATATGGTGAAGTGACTGTGATGAGTGCAGTAAGAGTCCAAAGAATACTTGAATAAATATTAAAGGCATTACTTTCCACATTTGACTTTGAGCCGTTACATTTGGTCATCTACTCCAATATCCACATATATACTGTATAAATATACATGTGTTCACTTTCCTTCCTTTCCTTCATATATATATATACACACTGTATAGGATGAAGCCCTGGTTGTCAAGAGTCAAAAACCATAGCTTATCAAAAAAAAAAACAAAAAAACACACACACAAAAACAAAGACATCTGTAGAAATGGTGTCATTTTTGCTCCTTATTTATGAACATCAATCATTTCAATCCCTAGATTCATGTCTCTGTAAACCGAAAACCTATTTCCTGTAATTTCTGAGAAGGCAATAAAACTTTTTTTTGTAGTTTACCAGAACATATGTCAAATAAACTTATGAATATGTCTTTCTAAGATGAAGTTCAGTCATTTGTCTCGAGACGGCAGAGACTTTCATGAGTTCCTCCGTGGCCTCTTCAACGGTCTACGTTACGTCTTCTGAAAGTGTTGTTTTTGCCAATAGTTGCGTGGATTATTTTTTTAAAGCGTTTGCCAACAGTACTGAGTCACTGCTGCCACTGAAGTCACACTTCAGTCTGCTACTGGATCCTTCACAAGGCATGTGACACTCGTGGGAGGAGGTGGAACTGCAGAGGCTGGAACTAGCTCGTACCACGTGGTCGCCATCATTTTAGTCCTCGTTTCAGCACCACGGACAGCTCTGCAACCGTTAGTGTCTGGTGGGTTTTATTCTCAGATGTTTTGCTGCTTGTACTTTTATGTGGAATAAAGAGTTCTCGTTAACTGTGCCAGGTGTTTCACTGAACAGGAACAAAGCTCACATTATGTTGATGATGAAAAAAAAAATCTTTGCAGAAGAAAGGAGGTGTTGGAGGAAACACATGTTATTTTATAGTTACTCCATTAGTCAAACATACAAACAGCTGTGAAACACATGTATTATCTATTATAATTATGTGATTTGTCTCTCTGTTCAAGAAGATTCTAAAGATCTAAAGATTATTTATATTTAGAAACGACATTTCAACTCGATTGATCTTGGTAAATCATGATTACTCGTGACTAATCATAATCATAACCACTTTATTTGATTAATCTGATAATAAGTTGTGTGTGTATATATATATATATATATATATACATATATATATATATATATATATGAGATTTATTTGTTTTTTACATATAGTCCATGATTTCCTCTCACTGTGTTCCGGTCTAGCTGGTCTCCACCACATACTTTTCCACCTGTATTTTCCCTCGAGTGAGATACTGGGTTTTTTGTTCAATCCGGGTGCCAGCTAACAAAGTGTGAAGGCCAGGCATCACTCTGAGAGCTCAGAGGAGTGTTTCCTCCAAGCTGGCAGCTTAGACTGCTTTACTGTATCTACTCTGAAACACTTCAGGCCAGTCTTCCTGGTCCTGCTCCACTGCCTTCAGGCACTCACTCCTGCGTCTGATCAAAGAGTCGGCAGCCGTTTATTGTCGTGCCAGCTCACTCTGTACGCACACTCCCGGCGCCTCTGTGCCAGCCAGGCTTGAAGGCGCAAAGTCAAAGTCCTCGCTGATGTTTATCAGGTTTCCTGTTTAAATATGCCTGTAAGTGGTGGTGTGGTGCCCAATTAGAAAGTAGATTCAGGTATTTAAAACTCACTTGGCAAAACATTAAGCAGTGGCTGGGTGTCTTCTCTGTGGGCTCATCAAGATCCAATCTGTCTCTAATTCCACAACTTTCTCACTACACACACTAACGGCCGCCCTCAGAGCTACAGGAGAAGAAACATCACCCTTGGTAGACATTACACAAAAGACAACAAAATGAATTAATCTGTTTAGAAAAATGACTCGTATGCAAATTATTTAGAATATAATTATTCTAAACTCACATTCAAGCAGCAGATGAGCATTGTATGGTTTTGAATTCTTGCCATATTACCTTTTTAAAAGTGCTCACAAAAAAATTGAAAAAATAAATAAAATTGCTCTGATGATCTGCTCCGCTGCGCTGAAACCCAGTGCTCCACTAAAATGTGTTTTGTTGCCAAATAATGTTCCAAATAGTTTTTGTAATTTCACGGCAGCACACATAAAGCATTGCTTCTGTGTCGCTGTAGCCCTGCTTAATTCTGACGCTAAATTCTTTGGGGATTTTTTAGGACGGTTGCGGAAAAACAAAACAGCCAATTTAGGAAAAATTGGGGGAAAGAATTTTGAAAGGCTAATGAGGGAAAGTAGTGTTGTTTGTTTATTTACAGTATCAGAGTGAAACGTCCTTGGTGGATGATAAAACCAGAGTTTCTGTGAGTAAAGTTTGAAAGTTATTTATCAGAATCTCACCTCATCAGGATCAGAACTCCAGTGCTGTTGAAACATAGGCTCTAATGAAGTTCACGTAGTGGTGAAAACTACAGTCATGTAGATGACTCTCAGCCAATGAACAGGCAGAACACCTGCATCAATG